GACCTGAAATTGCAATCTAAATAAAAGTTTAATTTATTTTCCTACATGAAATAAATGCACAATTAAAATGAACAACTGAAATTTATCTTTATAGTTGCATTTATCTTGACTAAAAAAAAATTATGGCTGGGCCCTGTGAGCTCAAATATCTTTCAGAGTCATCTTCTAATATCAATATATTAGAACTATGTTCAGAGTCTTTTTCTCCAAGAATAAATAAAATATCTTCTTCACTTGTCTTTTAATAAACTGATGAGATTCAGGACAATCTCATATACTGTTTTGACACAGTCTATATAAGCAGCTTTGAATTCAGGCCTACATCGCATATTTGTCACATGCTCTCCTATCATTTTATTAAAAAGGCTATCTTCTGATGTTATTAGGATTGGAAACTCTGTAGATCAAGGATCTTGTCTTCGTACATGTCTACAAAATTTCTAGCAAACCATTGATGCTCCACAAATAGTAATTAGTAATATGACAAGCATTTTATATGCTTTTGCATTTTTCAACTTTTCCCAAGAAATGATATGTTTCTTTTGTGATTATACTCACGGGTAACCCTGGGGCTCCTGGTGAACCGGAAGGTCCCTGATCTCCCTAAGGAAAAGATACCACTATATTGTAATATTTCCAGCAAATGAGGACACAGAATCTTCAAACAGTATTTATTAATGAAGATATGTTTAGAATATAGTCTCCTATAGACAACCACCTAACCTCAGGAAGATTCTTACCAACAACCACAGGACATACCACATTAATACCAACCCTGAAACTTTCCCTTGCAACACATATTCCTGTTCATCCATAAATATAATTTATGCCATCATGTGCCAACAGTGTCCTTCTGCTAGGTATATTAGACAGACTTCTCAGACACTTCGCCAAAGAAATAATGCCCACAAATCAGACATCAGACATCTTCACAAGGAAAAACCAGTTTATTTCATTTCTACCTACCTGGACATAGTCTTAATGATTTTACTATATGCATCTTACTTCAAAGAGACTTTAACATCAGATTACAGAAGGAAACATCAGAACTTTCATTCATGCATAAATTTGACACTTTACGAATGGGCCTTAACAAAAATGCTAATTACCTTACCCATTACAAAGATAGCTTCCCCACTTAGCACTCCTGATTAGCCATTTATTGACTCATAAACAGCTATTCCCTCCCTCCCTTTCCCTCACCCCACCTTCTGTACTAAATCTGATGTGTCAGTTTAATAATGTGTTCACTTTTTTCATTGTATTCCTTTGGTATATATGGTCATGCCAATTCTCTTCCAGAATATGATCTGAGGAAGTAGGTCTGGCCCATGAAAGCTCATCACCTATTAAACCGTCTTGTTAGTCTTTAAAGTGCCACACAGTTTTTCCTTTTGTTTTAGCAAGATCAGGCTACCTCTCTATTACTAGAATAGGAGAGGCAGGATTATACAGTGAACTCAGCAGAGGGACAAGAGTCTGGAACTCCTACATTTTAATATTTAGTTATGCCACTGACTCATTTTTTGGTATTGAATAAATCACTTAATTTGGTACTTTACAAGCATCTTTAACTTCCATGTAACTCTAAAATAGTTGATACTCATACCAATATTATTGATATATACATGGTCCAGTTATTACACAGGGAGGGAGGCCATGAGCATTAGGGTTCTGAATTCTACTTCTGCCGCTACCATAGATCTTTTCTCTAATGCATTGTGCCTTATTTTCAACATATATAAAATAGGGTTTCTGATGATAATAAGCAAGACAAGTATGAGATACTGTGAGAACAAATTAATTGTTATTAGTTTTGAGACTTTCATATCAAAGATACAAATATAACATACTACAGTATTTGGCGCAGACTAGGAATGTCAACATGTTGTTGACAAAATGATTAACTGAGAACCCTAGGTTATCAGAAAACAAGTGAAAGCCAGGGTTGGAGCCACCTGGGGTCTGCCACTCAATGAGGGATCTGCCTTGCAATTTCAACAGTGAATATTTGGGGTACACCAAGATATATAGAAAGGGAAGCCAGGGGTATGAAGAGCCCTGGTTTGTGGATGCAGAGCCAAGAAAATGCTCACCTGGAATCAAAGTGGGTGATACCACACTGCACATGAATGGTGGTTAGGCCTGCTACCTTTACATGATTCAACTTACTTCTCTTCTGTCAGCCCTATTGTGCTTCAACTCATCAACAGCATTCACCTGGGACCTGCTGGCAGTTTCTGGGATCACCTGGGATTTTGATTGCATTACCTTATTAGAAGAATATTTTTATTTCAGAAAGGATCTGATTGCAGTTGGAAGGTTAAACCTGTTCATTAATTTATCAGTTCCCTTGCCTCGTCCCTTTACATATTTCCAGTATTTACCTCTACTAAATTGTTCATATCCTTTCTATTAATTACAAGTTTATTCCTTTTTAAGAGTTGTTGATCTTCAGTTGCTTTTAATTTGTAATATCCTAGAATCCACAAGGGTTACATATTAAGTCATTCATCTGACCACTAGTATGTACTAAGAATGCAATTTAGCTTCAGTGATTAGCAAATGATGGATTGAGACCTCCCATTTGTCCATGGATTTCAGAGAACTCAGTATTGTTGGTCCTAACTGGGACTCAAAACTGGGGGAAGGAGCAAGTGCTTGGGGATCAGATGGTCTCCTGAAGAGCCTACATAGAGACTCATTGTAACATAATCATAGAATCATAGAACCATAGAGCTGGAAGAGACCATAGAAGGCAATCAAGTCCCAATTAAATCAACCCAGCCAGGGCTTTGTCAAGCCGAGACCTAAACACCTCTAGGGATGGAGAATCCACTACTTCCCTAGGTAACCCATTCCAGTGTTTCACCACCCTCCTAGTGAAATGTTTTTCCTAGGCTGTGTCCAGACTCAGGGGTTTTTTCGAAAAAAGTAGCCTTTTTTCGAAAAAACCTCACCTGCGTCTAGACTGCAGCTGCGTTCTTTCGAAATTAAATCGAAAGAACGCGGCTTTTCTTTCGATGGCGGTAAACCTCATTTCACGAGGAAGAACGCCTTCTTTCGAAAGTTCCTCTTTCGAAAGAAGGCATTCTTCAATGTAAATAGGGCTTCTTAGAAAGAGAGCATCCAGACTCACGGGATGCTTTCTTTCAAAAAAGCAAGCCGCTTTTTCGAAAGTTCAACGTGCAGCTAGACGCTCTCTTTCGAAAGAGCCTCTTTCGAAAGAGGCTTGCAGTCTAGACATAGCCCCAATATCCAACCTAGACCTCTCCCACTGCAACTTGAGACCACTGTTCCTTGTTCTGCTATCCATCACTACAGTGAACAGCCTTTCTCCAGCCTCTTTGGAATCTTGACATAGAAAGTACACTTATTAAGTTTGCAGATGATACCAAGCTGGGTGGGCGTGTGACTAATCTAGAGGATAG